TTCCGATCGGCTACTAATTTTCCGACGATACTTGGCCAGTGTTTATGCCTGATTCCAATGTCGCAGGACGAGTTTCGATTTTGCAGCGTGAGGACCATACTATCGGTAATAGCGCTGCTCTGTCAGATAGCCATGACCATTTTGAGCTTTTGCTGGTTGAAGGAAAGCGGCGCGAACATATTCAAAGGAGGTGCAGAGTGGTCGCGATCGTTGCCCTATTACGAGGGCGATCGCATTTAGGTATCGTAACCTACTTAACGACGTGTATCCCGTTTATAGGCGTGGTACTGTTTTTTGGCGGTGCGGCAGTTACCATGGCATTGCTCATCAATCTGTCGATCAACTGGTGTGGGCTGCTGAAAAAATGGGAACAGGTGGAAGGGTACTTCGGTCACCAGAAGAATTTGAAATTGAAATTTACTTTAATATCTATTTTGTGTATCATATTCTCAATGGGTAAGGATGAAAGATGACCAGGTAGGCGGTTTAGGCTCTTGCTTAGACTATGATTCATAGGCAAGTGACAGAGTGACATTTTCAAATAAAAAAATTCCTAAATAATTATGAATAGTATAATTTTTTTTTCTGAAATGCGATCCTGTGGTTCTTAAAAATATTTATTTGTAGTAACATACAAATGTCAGTATATCTGTTATAAATCTGATATCTGATAGTTACAAAGATTACCGGGTAGGTGGCATTGTCTTAAAATTAATTTATAATTCAATTTCAAATCCTTTAAAACGTGTTCAAATTATTTTTAATTCCTTTCCATATTCGAGTTACATATCGCAGATCAATAACAGTTAATTTAACTCGTAGTAAATGTTGAATTAAATATTTTAAATCGTCGAAAAACAAATGGAAGTGTATACTTTTTTCTTGCGAACTGAGGAGGGATTGTTATCGTCCCTCTAGTCATATTATTATTTTCGCTTGTGATGCTGCGATGTCACTATAGAACTTTTAGCTATAAATATAAAATAATAGTAATGGCAGAGTCGTCGTCAAACGTATTGCAGTGGAACATTTGAGTTACTTGTTGACGGGAATCATAACGACGAAAAAGGAGAGTTCCCAAGAAGTGTTTGAAATTTATGTGTTAAGAATGTTCCCACAAGTATTCAACATAATCACATACAACGTGTGGATAGCCTTATTGGTGTTGGTGATCAATTCCGTATCAACTCTCACCCTGTGTTTTTCGGACCAACTCATCATCATGGGCAGTATAGCGTTGGGCAACTACTTTCAATCATTTAACGACCGCATGAAAATGTGTAAGGGAAAGGTACGGATACTTAAATTGAAGTTTTGTTCGACAAAATTATATTTTTGAGACATTGAAGTTTAGTTTACTTAAAATACATCAATCAAGAAATCTATTATGATCTTGAAGAGTAGAATAATGATTTTCACTGAGAATAGTAAGATAAAGTTTAAGGTATAGGCACTGACTTATAGATATTATCGCAGTGGCAAACCCCGCTGTTAAGCGAAAAAAAAATTCTGTAATATGCTGTAATATTATATAGCTGCGCTATATTAGATTATTTTTTAAACACAAATGAGGTGCATGTGCATACATATCTATACAATTTTAATTTTTAACCTTTCAGTTCTTATTACAGTATAAAATATTTTTTTAAATAAATATACTTACATGTCTCGATTATGAAAAAATAAATGAGAATAAAAAAATGTCGCGACATATTAGTATATTTTATGTAGTACTGTTTTGTGTTCTTTCGTGCGTATGCTTACAGAAATTAACTTCCGACCAATGGAAAACTTTAAGGGTCGATTACACACGACTCTGCAATTTGACCAGATCGCTGAACGATTGTTTATGCCATTTACTATGCGTTTCTCTACTATTGCATTTATACATAATATGCGTGGAAATGCACCAGGGTGTCTTGTAAGTTAATATTTTTATTATCATAAACTTAAATTTAAAAATTGAACTCGTGTATAAACTGCTAATTGTATTGGCGAAGACTGAGTTTCAATTTTGTAAGGTTTACGGAGAGGGTATTTTGAAAAATAAAATAAAAGCCAAAGTGCTTATGTTGTGTGTACTTAAGATATTTGTGGATGGAACTAAGCACATAAGCGTATCCGTAAGCTTATTTTGATCATTTGATTATTGATAAACTAACCTAAGGATCAACACAAAATATATTTGAATAAAAAATATTATAAAATATTAATTATTTAGAGAAATAAACGAAAATAACAGTTTGGGTCATTACGTTCATGCCATACTTTCATTTTTGGTTTCTTCATTGCGAGGATGTTTATTATGTCTGTGTTCCGTTAACGTATATGAGAACAGTAAATTACCAAAAAGATCACTCTATGATATACCACAGCAGTCGTACTGCAATGAAGTGAGTTCAATCGTTCAGTGTCTAATAAGCAATGAAAACGTATCTACGTTAAATTATATTAAAACATTTTTTTTAGGTGGAATTTTTTATGTTGCAAATACAAAAAGATCATGTCGGACTCACTGGAAGTCATATGTTTTTAATGACCAGAAGGTTTTTATTAACAGTATGTACAATTAACTATGGATTTATTTTATTCGTTTAATATGCCTACTTAATACTAGGAGTCGTAGTCATACACGGGTATTTTTTACTGATACACGTGTATTTAATACCCGTTCCCCGTGTATTTAATACCATCTCGTATGTATTACCCGATAAGTAAATATCAGACACCCGTATAGTTATTAATTCATGGTAATTAAAGGTATATTATATAATTATTCAAATATTGGTATGAATCTTGGTTGGCTTTCACAGAGATTGGCAATTTTTTTTAAACTAAGTGGATATTTCACTCTTATAAATATGTTTTTAACTTAAATACTTTATTATAGCTACTTATAATTACTTAATATTTTGACTTATTCTATCATAATTTAAATAAAATGTTTTCTATATATGCTATCGCTCCGGCGCATACGAATTGCGTCCCTAAATGTCCGAGTTGCATCCGCGGTTTTGTCACGACTTATCCGAGTTGCGTCCGCGGTTTTCTCGGGCCATGGGTTTTTCAGCAACTGTGAATATTATTTGGTGATAAACTCGTAGATAATCTCGATTATCATCGATATCTTATCTGTAAATACCACCTTAAAATTTATTGTTGAAAATTCATTTTGTTCATGTTAGCATTAGTCTTACTTCGTAATCCATTATATTTTGCACCAAATATAATTTATGCAGATTTTTTAATAAATAATAATAAAATTCATAATACAATTGTTATAAATAAATTTAATATTTAATAATAGAGAAATCTCAGTTATTACAATACAAAAACATGGAGAATAAAATACACGGGTAATGTCGGGTATTTAGATACACGGATAATGACGGGTATTTAGCTACACGGGTAATGCGGGTGAACGGGTATTTACAAATACACGTGTATTTTATTTACACGGACCTTAATCCCGTTTCAGATAAGAACACGTGTACCCGTGTAATTCATTACACGTGTAATGGCGAGCATTACTTAATACAATTTGTTCTAGGTGTTTGGAACGATTGTTTCGTATGAAATATTATTAGTTCAAATGAAAGGATACAATTCTCGAAAAAACACTTAAGAATTCTATATTCGAAGTCATAATATTATTGTTAGTTTAATTGATTATGATTAATCACCAATCTATTAATGTTACCATATACTATGTAAATATTTGTATAAATACTAGAGTCTTGCATTCTTTAAAAATGTGTTGATTTTACTATTAGTGTGATTTAGTTATGATATAGATCAACGGTTCTCAAACTGTGGTACGCGTACCACTAGTGGTACGCGAAAGACTATAAGGTGGTACGCGAAAGGCCGTGATAGAACGGAAATTAAAAATTTGATATTTAACTCTTATATTAATTTAAAAACACAAATACATTTTTATTAATAAATAAATAGTAATTTTATTGTAGTATTTTAATGCCTTTATGTTTAAAATAAATGTATTTTATTATGTAAAGTTTATATGGTTCTATTATTAGTGGTACATTACTGATAATATATTCAAGTGGTACGCGAAAAAAAAAGTTTGAGAACCGCTGATATAGATAATAAATATAGTGTACAATAACAGAATTAACGTTTAGAAATAAGAATTACGATTAATTTGTTTATTCTGTATAAAATTAACAATTATAGCGAATTTGAAAACATTCTGAGTTTATTTATTATTATTGTAATAATAATCTTTGATTAGGACAATGCATCCTTAATACCAGGGCCGACTTTACTTAGGATCGACACGTGCGACGGCACAGGGCAACAAAATCAGAAGGGTGTGTGAGAGGCGTCAAAATTAAAATTTAAATTTGAAATTTAAATTTAAATTAGACGCTTTTTTTTTTTTTTAGTAATTTAAATTTAAATTAAATAAATATATATATATATATTTAATTACATATTTATTATATATTTTATTATATATATTATATATATATATATTTAATTTAAATTTAAATTTCAAATTTAATTTTAATTTTGACGTCTCTCACACATATTTTAATTTTAATTTTTTTTTTTTTTTACTATAGATAAAAAAAAATTACGATGTGTTTCAATATAAATTTTATTATTATTATTATTATTGCAAGTACTTTATCACTTAGCCACTGCATATTACATGTTCATATTAATAATCATAACTCATTCAGTATCCTTCATCTAAAATCAAACACATATTGTACCTGAATAGTATAGGACAGTATAGGTTCTCAACATGGGCGATATCACCCTTCGGTGGCCGTTGAAGAGGTTCTGAAGGATAGTGAACATGTTGTAGGCGATTGGGGGAGCATTGGGCAAGTCTTGGGTAGCAGGATAGTGTTGAGTATAATATGTATTATTTTTACATTAAAACTTAAAACTGAAGAAAATGAAAAACAGTATGCTGAGTTTCGCGCCATGACATATATGCTATTATTTTCAAGCAATATAGTCCTATCCATTTATCTAAAAAATAAACGTGAGTTAAAAAAATATATTTACCTAACAGATAGGTCAACATGCGTTTGACTATCTGTAATTATTTTCAAAGTTATTATTATTTTTTATTTATAAACCTATTTTCTATTTAATTTTCAACTATACGCTTTTCAAGCATATCATTTTTGTTTTTCTTTCTAAGGGGCGTTAAAAAGTATTTTGTTTCTAAAGAAAACGACAACTTGAAAAAGGATAAAAACCACTGGTACAAAGAATTTAGTATCAGTTTTAACAAATACGTTACACCAATGTATAAATATCATATAAATAAACATTAGGTATGTCAATAACATTTACGGGTCTTATTTAAAATTATCAAATATTTTAGACATATAAAACGTATATCTTACCGTAAACATACTACAAAACATTTATATTAATTCAATTTGTAATTTATATATGTGAGTATATCAGTGTATTTCAAATATTTTGAATAAATTATTAAATTATTAAATTAATGTAAAAAGTTTTAATAAAAATATAGTACTTATACAAAACGAAAACAATATAAACACATAATTTAATTAAAAATATTTTTCATAATCATTAAAATAAACTCTGTTATATATCAGTGTTTCCCAAACTAAAGGTTGCAAAATATTTTTGATGAGTCACATTAATAACAAGAAAAATATTTAAGCTAACAAAATATAATTATAATTAACAGAATTGAGTTATTCTGCATTACGTCAAGGTATATAATAATTCCTTATAATAAAATGATTATTAATTTTATTAAATTAAACCATATTAATTTTTTTTTTTTTTTTTTTAGATTCATCTCCAAACACGTTCTACCAAAAGGACATTTATGGGCTGCCTTAGCATAAAGCTTGGGAAACATTGTTCTATACGATAATATGCGAATATACGTAGGTGCTATGACAAATAATGAAATAATGAATGATATTTAACTATCACATATTAATAATAGGATACTATTTTTGAGAAGCACTTTCAGGATTCAAAATCACTCGCAAAGCCCAACCCCACATTGATTTGATAATTGATTTATCTTCGAGTTTAATTATTAAACCACCTTCTGGCTTTTGACTCCACTGCAAAAATAATAAACCATAATAATATGAAAATAGAACATAAATACGTAAATTAAAATTTCATAAAACTATTTACCTTGAGTTCTTTTTGTGTATCCAACATAACAATGGACGCAATTTTCAATTTGTCCAAGCATGCAGAGCTCAGTAAATTATCCTCGGGCCATTGCAAAACTATTGGATAAATTATCGTAGAAACGTACCCTTGAGTGTACCTTGATGTTAATAAATATTTATTAATACATAGATATGTAATGGAAAAAATTAAGTGACCTTAAGACATAGTGCAACTATGTAATCTAACCATAAGTGAGAGTTTTGCGTATCATTTTGACACTTTGGCCATGGTGTGCTGTTGTAAATCGATTCACCGTTAACGGATAACCATTGGCCGATCTGTAATAAGCGTTCTTCATGCAATGGCGGAATCATGCCATCACTAGTTGGGCTTATGTTTAATAACAGATTACCTGAAAATTCAAACCAACTTATTCGAATTCATTTTTATATATATTATATATTATTTTACGGCGCACCTCCAAAGCTAACTGTTTCCACCAACTGGGCGATTAGATTTTGAATGGTGTACACATCTAATGCTCGAGCATTTTTTCTGTAGCCCCACGAATACTTATCGATCGTCATAGCGTTTTCCCATTTTCTGCCAACTACCTTTCCTAAAATACGATTTGTATAGGAAAAAGTCACGTAATCAAATCTTTTCAAATCAACGCGTTACCTGGTTGAAACCTGTCTGCACATGTCAAAAATCCACCATGCTTACATAGCGTATCACCTCCCCAACGGTCGTTCACAACGATTGTGTCTTTCACGGGGCTATCGTTGTACAACCAAGCGAGAAAATTCAACGAATCCCAATAAGTGGCTGGTGCTTCCCATTCGCCATCCGACCATATGACTTCTGGCTTATAATTGTTCACCTAAAGCACAATAATATTGCAATATCGGTAAAAAAATGGAATGTTGTATTCAATGTGCCGTATTTGATTTACCAATTCGTAAAGTTCCGGCAGAACTTTCTCGGTCACAAAAGTACGGGTAGTTAGATTGGACTGTTTGTCTTGCATCCAAAGCGGGTTAAACCACTCGTATAACGAATGGTAAACACCAAACCTAGTTGAGTTTAAACTTCTCACGGCTCTGCTCAGTTCTCCTATTTTCCATGTGTAATGTTCATCGGTTAAAAAATCAAATAAAATATATAAATATTACGATACACAAACCTACTAGATCTCTGTGTGGTCCGACGTCTACGGAGTTCCATCCAAACGCTCTTTTTGACGGCCACATCGTGTATCCTTCGTGGTGTTTAGTGGTCAGTACTACGTACCTGATTAGTAAAAAGTAAAATCCGACCAATGTTCAAGTTTAGGACAAGTAGGATTATAAAAATCTATCGACTTATTAATTACTTTGCCCCGGAGTCTTTGATTATGCTAGCCCATTGCATAGGGTCGAAGAACTCCGCAGTGAACTGAGGACCGAACTCTTGGTACGTAAAACCTGGCCTGTAGTTTTTCGTCATGAAATTTACGTAAGATGCTCCTTTCCTGCCTATATTTATGAGTAAAGTAAGTAAAAATTATAAATAATATTATATTTATATCTTTTAAATATTATAAGATATTTATTATTGCGTTTCAAATGTTATTTTTTTACCCACGACATGGTGTAATTTTTATAAAATCATAATTTTAATATTTATTAATTAAAATGTTATATATGAACGTATTCATAATTAATATAAGTAATTATACTGTGTTGTTATTATATTATGTAATATATCTAGAAAATATAATTTATGGTTTGACATTTATATCAATTCTAAACATTAACTGTATATGATTTTGATGTTAAATTATTTTAAGAATTATAACACTTTATTTTATACGACTGAGCAGTACTACTAATAATTAATGTTTAATTTTCACGGAAAGATGTAAGATTACATTTTTTAATGAAATATTTTTGAATTAACATAATATTTTCTCATATGTTAGTGAAAATCTGTGAAAATAATTTTGAATGTAGTTTTAATTTTATAGCTTAAATAAAATAATCATTAATATTCTGTAAAGTACGTAAGGACAATAAGCTGATTAGTAATTTCATTTTATTGGGTATTTATATGAATACTTATTTAGAATTGTTGATACAACTTTTTATGGACTATAATTAAAATTATTGTTTATTTTCATAGTTCTTCATACTGTTTTATACTCCTATATTAATAATCAAGTATTTATAAATTTAACTTTTCCATACATGCACAATACTAAATATATCATTATATGCATGAAAAATAAATAATAAAATAAAACCTATCTTTCTCCAACGTTTCTCAACAGCGAAAAAGACTGTTACTTTTCCATATTTAAGTATAAAGCGACGGCGGAAAGTTTGCCACGAATTCACTGCTATATATGTATAAATGTTTATATTTATAATTTAAAGTTATATTTCTGTATTTCTCATTTCATATTAATATTATAACGTGTTCAATGTATTAGTAGTTGACCAAAGTAATTATTTTCTTGGTTTATTCTTTTTTAAAAGACCACCCACCCCCATTTTTTCATAAATCATGTTATCCAAATATATCCCCTTCACGCCGCTACTGTAAGTATATATATTAAATAAATATAATTTAGATATTTTGCTATGTATTTGTAAACCATGCCCCATTTTCTTCTATTCCATTGAATTAATTACGACTGTACAGACCTTATATGGTGATTGTGACTTATTCGTTGCTTAGTTGGCAAAATGTGAAAATTAAATTTCATAGCATGATGTTACACGTTTTGTCATTTTGTCTTATTGTAATTCTAATCGTATATATATACTCAGGTGAAAGTTTTCAAAAATGTAAGCCATGGCGCTGAATCTATAATTCATATGGTCGAGGAAGACGCGTTTGTTAAATAAACATTTATACTATTTCTGTGGTAATGTGATTGTGGTATAATGACTAAATGATCAATAAATGTAAAATGTTTTAAATGAAACCCATATTAATTATTTGGTTGGAAATTGGTGTCATAGTTCTGAAACATCGTAATGTGTACCTACGTACGATTATCGTGACTCAAATTTGTTGATATTTTGTGACAACTCACAATTAATATAAAAATTTTAAAAAAAAATTGTTAAGTTTACCTGTTTTATCTTTGTACTGAATTCGTATACCGTATATGTACTTCTGTGAAACGCACGTAAGTATATATAGTAACGTACGCACGTAAGCATAATACGTGTGTATATACCGGTCGGCTACAGAGAGCATATATGTATATGTTACGGGCAAAGTATACAATTTGGGCATTTTATACATTGTCCGGACAGTATATAAAATGCCCTTCGTATATTGGGCAATATAAATAACAGATGATATGATTTAATGAAATATGATAAATCAATGAATAATGACATATATTTATATTATTGATTAATTCATCTCAGTAGAAATAATTGATTGTACCACGAATCCTTTCTTGGCTGTGCTTCCTTTTCTTTTACATGATTTGCAACTATTTAAGTATAGCATAATCATATCTCTGGTAATATTTTTATATTTTGTATTTATCTCATGTTTCATCCTGTTTCGTCCACCATGTCTAATCAATAAATGAACCTTATGTATAACATCAAATAAATCTTCATTATGTATATAATATTTAATTTCGTTGTTTTCAGATACTGGTACAATTAACTTATTAACATCAGAAACTTTTAACACGTAATATTTTTTTAAAAGTTTTAATCTAAAAAAAAAAATAGCACCAGCATTAAAATTGATTGGTGATCATTAGGATTCGGAAGTTGATGCATTTGGCATTTTTTTTTTTTTTTTTTGGAACTTTTTAGATAATGTTCTCTTGGCCACAAATGTGTTTCTATAGAATGTGAATCCGAACAACTAATTTTTATTTTACATTTTTTCGCATTTTTTGGTGTTTATTACTTTTTAAGTCATTTTTTGACTTTTTTATTAATTTTTACTGATTTCACACTAGTTCACTAGTTATTGTTTCTTGTCGACCATTATGCCGATAACTTAAAATTTGTCCGATTTTATCTCGCCGATTTCATTCTTAGTTGTCGTATATCGTGAATATTATTATACCTACATTTTATTAATTTTTCCTAATATTCGATTAGTATACGATTTTATCTCGTCAATTACAGTCATCGCCTCGTTGCCATGTTACAGTGAATAATACCTATTATATTTAAATCTTATTATTTTTTTTTGTAATATTTTCAAAATGACGAAAATTAAAAAGTCGGTTAATGCTCGTCTGTGTCTCCCAATCATTTCAGTGGACGTATAGAGAGAAGTTTTTCCTAATGTAAATATTTATAAACAGATAATCGTCATTCATTTACTTTTGATAACATCAAATACACTCTAATTTTACAATAGAATGATTTTTATTTTTGAGTAATTTGTAAGCTTTAATAAATTTATAAAACAAATGTTTATAATTATTTTATTTCATATTTCAAGGACATTTGTTATCATTTTTATGTCATATTTTGAATAATTTGTAAGTTTTGATAAATTTATATAAAATTTTATAGTAAAAAAGAGTAAAATATTTATAAAATTGTGTTTTTATTAATTTAAAACAAATATTTGTCATTTTAAGTCATTTTTATATTATATTCACATCTTTTTATAGGTAATTTTTTAATGTTTTTAAGGTCATCAACTTCCGAGCCCTAGTGATCATACATTTCGTTTCATAAGCGTTTAGAAAAATTGTATTGATCATTGGTACAACGGTACAATTACAGTTAAATAGTGATTTAAGTACTTTGTACAATTAAATAGTCTTAATTATGTAATTGAAATTTTTTAAAGAGTGTATTCATGAACCATTATTAGAAAATATTTTAACCAGACAAAAACTTTTTTTTTTTTAAAAAAAAAATATGACTTTATTTTGAAATATTACAATCTATACAGGGTGTACAATAAGTAATAATTACGGTGAAAAGAAAGAAAAACTATGAACTAATGATGACATGGTAGGAAATCTCTCATTAGAGACACCTAGTGGCTTTACAATAACATTTACAATTTATTACAATGATTTAATTTAAGCAATTTATAAAATTTTTAAATCGCGGCACCAGTTCCGCTTGAGTCGTCTAGTTGGATTTTCGGGTAGTGCTGGTGTAGCAAGGTCCTTGATGAGTTGGTTGGGGTTGGATAGAAGTTTTGCGTGGAAGCGTTTGTAATATAGAGTGGCTGTATGACAGAGCGGATCTTGAGATCGGAGTTTATAATGTTATTGGAGACATACCAGAGTGCTCCTGTAATTAGACGACAGCAAATATTTTGGAAGGCTTGAATGGTTCTTTTGTTTGATTTTTTGGCAGAACCCCATACTACCACCCCATATGCCCAAAGTGGTTGTATGAGAGTTTTGTATAATAATATTTTAATGTTTAATGTTAGGTACACGACATCAAAATATTCTCGGTCGGGTGGTGCTGCTGAGTGCCTGCCCTTAAATGTTAAATTCTGTTATTTTACATTACATTAACTATCAAATTTACCCATTGTACATAATGTTGTATAGATTGTAAATTACTTAAATATATAAAAAAAAAAAAAATGTTAGGTTTGAGCGTAGGAGTGGCCTTAGTAGGTGTAGTCTTGAATTCAGCTTTTTGCTTTTATTCATGAGGTGAGATGACCATGTTAGTCGTCTGTCAATTATCAAACCAAGATATTTAACTTCGTTTGAATGAGGAATTATAATATTATTCATTGTTACTGGAGGACAGTAATGAGGCCTAAGAGAGAAGGTATTTAAGGAAGACTTTGTTTCATTTATTTTTATTCTCCATTTAACGAACCATTGAGAGAGGATGTCAATGTGTGTTTGTAATTGGCGACTTGCAGTGGTATGATCTGTGGCCGTAGAGAGGATTGCGGTATCGTCTGCATAGGTTCCAAGGATAGTATTTTCAGATGTAGGCAGATCTGATGTGTAGATAGTGTATAGAAAAGGAGCAATGTCGCTGCCTTGAGGGACCCCAGCTGCAATAGGAAATTGTTTCGAGTGTTCGAGGTTGTGGTGGACCTTGAATGTGTGGTTGTCTAAATATGATTTTAATATTAGGTAGTAGGGGGCAGGAAAAAGAGTTTTTAATTTGAAAAGTAGTCCATCATGCCAGACAGTGTCGAATGCTTTGGCTACGTCCAAAAATAGTCCGGCACAGTATTTTTTGGTTTCTAAGGCAGTTGAGATTGTGTCTGTGACCCGGTGTAACTGGTGGATTGTGGAGTGATTTGTACGAAAGCCGAATTGGAAGTTGGGTATGTTTTTATTTACTGTTGTTATATGAGAGAGGCGCTTTAATAGTATTTTTTCAAGAATTTTGCCAAGCACTTGTAGAAGACTTATGGGCCGGTACGAAGAAGGGTGTTTGGGTGGTTTGCCAGGTTTGAGTATTGTCACGATAACTGATGATTTCCAAGTTGATGGAAAATAAGATAGTCGTAGAGTTGCATTATAAATATGAGCGAGAAAGATTATTGTTTTTGCAGGAAGATTTTTGATAACTTTGTTAGTTATGAGATCGTGACCAGGAGATTTTCTGTTGGCCAGTTTTTTTATTATACCACTTATTTCAGCTGGTGAGGTGGGTTTGGCGGGTAGTGCCATAGGTAATGGAGAGTAGAGTGATTCAGCGACCGTCTCTAGGTGCAGAGGTGGTGGTGAGATTGAATGTGGAACGAATGCTGATGATAGTCCCTCAGCTAGTGTGTCCGCTTTTTCCTTGTCAGTAGTTGCTAGAGAGTTGTGTGGCCGGCGAAGAGGGGGCGTGATTTCCTTTATTCGAAGAATTGATTTAGTTTTGCGCCAGAGAAAGCCGTTTTTTAGTGATAGATTTTGTAGATAGTTTTTATATGAGTCATTTTTGTGTATTTTTAGCAGTGATTTAAGTTTGTTTGAAAGCATGTTGTATCTTGTCTTGTCGTCTGGATAGTGGGTTCGCTGCCAGGTAGACCTTGCTCGACGTTTCTTAGCTAATAATTGCCTTAGCTCTGGGGTTAAATTATTAGTTGGGCTCTTGCTTGGTCTCTGGGTTGAAGAGTCTTTAGCTGCATTTTGTATATTGTTGGTAAGTAAATTGATTGCGCTGTCAATATCAGCTGATGATTTTAACTTTACATTAAGTATAGTTTTTTTTGAAAGAATATTTCTGAATGTGTTCCAGTTTGTGATTCCAGGAGTGATAGTTGGTCGATTTTGTTTCAATAGGGGTTGTGCTCCTATGTGAAGAAGAACTGGGGTATGATCAGACGTTGGATCGTTTAGATTTGTAACGTGTGTGATAAAACGATTTGGCATGTTAGAGATGAAGAAATCAATGGTGTCTGGATGACGATTAGTATGAGTTGGCCAATAAATCGGAGTGGTGCTTGATAAAAGTTTGAGATGTTTTTGTGTAACAAGGTTGTGTAGCGCGCGGCCCCGGGTGTTGGTGGAATTGCTCCAGGTTTGATGTTTGGCATCGAAATCCGCGCCTATAATATAGCTATGACTGAGAGATTGAAGAAGAATGATGAGTTAAGGTATAGGAAATGGTATTCCTGGAGGAAAGTAACAGGATGCTATAGATATAGGTACCGAGTTTATTTTTAAGGTTGTACTAGCTGATTGGATATTAATGCTCCTATGTGGTAGCAGGGGGGAGTGTTCGATTCGGTTGGAGATTATAAGTGCAGCTCCACCATGCGCCGTTCCGTCTGGGTGATCTGCTCTAATTATTTCATATCCGTATATTTTGAGTAAAGAAGATTTTGTAAGATGAGTTTCAGAAATAAGTGCGATTTCGATTTTTTTTTTCATTGAGTACGATTTGGAGTTCATTCAGGTGTTGGAGGATACCGTTGGCATTCCATAAGAATATGGTAAGTGGTTTTATGTTGTTAGTTGACATTTTTAATGAGTTTTTCTATGACAGTGGTAAGTAGTGACACAAGTGGATTGATTAGCGCTTTTAGATCATTTATAAATAAAGACAGTTGAGTTGTGAGGTCTTGGTTTTGATTTGGGTTGTTAGTTTGGGGTTGAGGAGAAGATTCTTTATTCAGTGGAGGAAAACTCTGTGAGTACGTTGGACGATGAAGATCTTGGTTAATGCCTTTTGAGGTTTGTTGGTTATTGTTCCTGGTGTTGTTTTTAGATTGTGCTAATTTTTTTTTCAAGTCAATGTGAGTTTTGCACTCTTTATAGTTAGCCGGGTGACTACCGTTGCATAATGTATAATTAGCAGGGGTGCTCCGGTCCTTAGTGCAATCTATTGATTCATGTTCTAAGCCACATTTAACACAACGAGGAGCGTGATTGCAATATTTGCAGGTGTGACCGTATGTCTGGTAACGAAACAAAAATTTAGTAACAATTTAAAACGAAAAGTAGTTGATGATATAATTATTAGACCATCAAAGATATTACATAGTGAATTGAAAAATTATGATATTGAAAATATAACTTCTAGGGATGTTTTAATAATAAAAATAAATATACATAATGCTCGATAAAATATGCCTGATAAAATAGAAGAAAAATAATCAAAACGCAATTTACGTACTCACAAAAAATACACGGGATGAAATTTAAATAGACCCAAAAAATATTCGGGACGCAATTTACAGTTACCCAAAACACTTAGGCATATAAAACTGTCCGATTACACCTGTTTCCCAACGGGGGAGAAATTCCTTCATAGGAAGGAATTTAGATACTTCGTGAAGGGTTATTTTAGTAAAGATGAAATTGTGAGAAAGATATTTTTTTATCAAAATATTCAATGTGTAAATGACTACTGTAAAATAATTTTAAATGTTGTGATTTACCTCTTATATAGTTTATCTCATATTACTGTTTTTATTGTTTTTAATAAAACCAAAAAAAAAACCTTTTTTAAATTGATGATGGAGCATAAGATTTTTGAAATTTTACAAATAGGGCGTGAAAAAAAATATTGGAAAAAAACTGATATACATTATAACGTAAAATATTAAGTACATGCACCTATATGTATTTAGTTATAGCGTTAATATATTGTACGTACTAAATTATAATACAATATTATAGTTGCTTTGGTTCGTTCAAACAAAATAAAAATAACATTAAAAGGCTCTCCCCTCACTTTTATCAACAATTTGGTAAAGCGAGCCACCGAATCGAAAATTTAATAAGAGCATGCGATTGCTCATTTCTATAAAAAATTGAAATTATGCCACTAATGTGGTTCTTAAGTCTAATACAGTTACAGTTGTGTCATGTATGGTACCTAATTTGAACAGGCACGTTGTTAGTTTTAAGATACCAAGAAATAAATATGTTGAATCAAAAAAAAAAATTGTTTTTGTAACTGAAGAACTTTTGTATTAAAAAAAAAAATAACTAAAACTAATAAAAGTGGTGAACTCATTATAATAATAATAATTGATTAATTTAAAAACAATTATAGATATAAAAATCCATATTACTTGGTAATAACGAGGAAATGGTATAAATGTAAAAAAAAAATAAAAAATAAATATGCTATGAGAATTTTTGAGGAAAATAATTTACACCGAAATTGAAACACATTTAAACTGATTTAAAATACTAAAATAATGTCTCTACTTATACTCATATATATGTAAGTATATCCAGAGCCGTATTTAACGGGGGGGCAAGGGGGGCAATTGCTCCGGGGCGGCAAATTTTGAGGATCAACATAAAAAAAATATATATTATTATAATTTTTCTTGTATGACCATTGACCGTATAACTATAATACATTATTATTTCGTTCATAAATACCACGAAAAAGCCGCGGTCTATCGCTGCATGTCACAAGGCGATAAGAATTAAGAACTTGTACTAGTTGTACTGTTATCGTATAAACTATTTTCGATATTCCTGTACGTTTTCCTCGAAAATAGTTGGGTACAACTATGTATATCAATATATCATATTTTATCTCGATAATCGGCACATTACACTGTTAGATGTGCAAACATTTTTTTCAGTTCGACGATTTTTTTTTTTTTTTGACAGTTGAAATATTATTTTCACAACAACAAGAGTTATGTGCATTAATAATATTAATATAAAGTAGGTAATAATATTTTCACAACAACAATAATGCCAGACAAACGAATTAGATTAAGCGGCGCAGCATTCAAAAAGGCGGCAAAAGAAAAACTAGAAAAGACCGATAATATGCTTAGAAAAATTCCAAAACTTCATTCATATTTTGCTGCTACAAATCCGGGAAAAGTATATTACGTTGTCGTACTTTCATACCTAAATTATACCATTTTATTTCTTAATACTTTACTCACGTATAAATATAATATTATGTAATAGACGGAATCGGAATTAAAGAAATATAGTCCAAAAAACATAGATAAATAGGAAATAATTTAGATGGTGCTTATGAAGTTCAAACTAATCAGGTGGACGTTCAAAATGACAATGAACACGCAGAAGAAGGGACTTCGGCAAATGAACGACAGGTATTGTTGAAAAAAATATTAATTTTGATCGGCACCTACTGATTATTTAATGTTACAATTTTTTTTTTTTTTTTTATGAATTTTTGTTATAAAACATCAAATGAATAATAATTAATAATATCATATGAATAATCAGCTAAACAATTTTATTCTTAATGCCAATTAATTTTTGAGTATAAATTTTAATATATAATATCTTTTATTCGATACGGAGCGTGGACCGTTATTCGTCGACCGTTAAAAATATACTGTTAATTTATTAAAAACCATAAAACTATTTTTTTTGTTATTTTCATTCAAACAGTTTTAAAATCTCAATTATTTTTTCTACATAACCTAGCAAAAAAGTCAACTAATACAGATCTATTTTCAAAATTTAAATCGGGTCACTGGAAGTAACTAAATAAATCATTCTTTTTCGTACCGATTTTGAAAACGAAAAAAAAATTCAATAACTAAATTCAGTGACTTGTGCATGCGCTATGAGGTTGTTCTAGGAATTATTAGTCGATTGGTTATCGTAGTCGTTATCGTGATAATGACCATCATTAGCCGGTGCCCGGCTGAACGATTGCGGAATCGGAAACTGATACAGAAATGTTTACCGTGACTCGTTTATTTGCTATATTGTACTATAATATATAATATTTTAGACTGACTAATCATTGGCTTTTGGATTTTGAAACGACAGATATACCTATTATTTATTAAATAATAATTATGTAGTTAATCGATATAGGTATGGTTATAAATTTATATTTTAATGAAATGTATGAACATATCGTTATATTCGGAATATTCCTAAATTTTTTTTTTTTTTTTTTGTACGATTCCCAAATTAGACCCGTGATTTATTTGCATTTTTTTCCTATTATAAATTTTTATTTTAAAATTGTTTTTTTTTACTAAATTTAGACTGAAATCATCAAAAGTTCTTTTCATAACGTTGGTCATGCATCACAAATTCCTTTATCCGACCCAGCAAAATGGAACTTCGTTTCAGATTCTATTAACTTCCTACTTGAAAACCCTCCAAAGTTAGACTTACAAAAATTACCATTCGAAAAAACAAAAAGAATAATTGGCAATACAAGTAGATGCCTAACTCCTGATAATTTTATGAGAAAATTACAAAACGGTGAAAAAAGAAATTAGAGATTGGATTGTATATTCTCCGTTCAAAAACGCGCTGTTTTGTTATCAATGTTTACTTTTCTCACCAAAATCAACGGTTTTTGGAAATAAAGATGAAGGATTTATAAACTGGAAAAAGTGTAATGAAATTTTACAAGAACATGAAACCAGTAAAAATCATGCTGAATCAGTGAAAATTTTGTTTTCTCGAATTAAAAAGAACTATAATGTGATTGATATAGAACTAAAGAAAGATATTGAAAATCAGACTTCTTGTTGGAAAAATGTTTTACATAGAATAGTCGAGTCAATTTCCTTTTTAGCATCGAGAGGCTTAGCTTTTAGAAGAGACAACCAGACTTTTGGTTCAAAACAAAATGGTAATTACTTAGGTTACTTAGAACTTTTGGCAAAGTTTGATCCATTTCTTTCTGCACACATAGCCAAATATGGAAATAAAAGAAAAGGAAATGTGTCCTATTTGTCATCAACTATATGTGACGAGTTCATAATGCTGATGAGTAATACTATACTAGACCAAATTGTATCGGAAATCAAAGAAAGAAAATATTTTTCTCTTATAGTGGACTCGACTTCTGATATAACAATACATGATCAGCTCACAATTGCAGTACGGTATATAACAAAAGAAGGCAAGCCTGTAGAACGTTTTCTTGGTTTTATGTCCTCTGTAGGACATAAAGGAACAGATATAGAATTGGCAATACTTAAAAAATTTTCAGAACTTAACATAAATTTGAAATACTGCAGAGATCAATCTTATGACAATGCGTCTAATATGTCGGATATTTATAATGGGTTACAGTCTCGAATTAAAAGTCATTCTACAACAGCATTTTTCGTGCCATGTTCGGCGCATTCTTTAAATTTAATAGGGTCTAATGCCGCTGACACTACTCAAGAAGGAACAATTTTCTTTTTTAATTGCCAAGCGATTTACAATTTTTTTTCTGCATCAACATATAGATGGAATATTTTATGTGAAATAATTAACAATAATTCAGATTGTGTTCAGATAAAAAAAATGTGCACAACTCGTTGGTCTTCGAGGTACGATGTTTGTAAAGCAATATTTAATGGATATGAAAAAGTTCTCAGTGCTTTAAAAACTATTCATGATGATGAAGGACAAAAAAAGGAAACTAGACATGAAGCCTCTTCTATTTATAATAAAATTAAAAGTTTAAATTTTTGTTTCATGATTTGTATGTGGACGCCTATACTTCAAAGATTTAATGCGACAAGTGTAACTTTACAATCTATTGATATTGATTTAGTCACAGTTGTAACATTATACAAATCATTGGAAACATATTTAGAAGACATTAGACAGTTGGCTATCAGTAGCCGTAGTGTCAAGTTGCCCGTAGTGATCCTACTCCAAATCGCGCGTGTTTAAAGTTAATTTCAATGAATTCCATTAATAAAAATGCTTCACCTCAAGACCTCAACCTTCCTGATACTTCAAAGAAAAGAACTAGCAGTGTCGCTCTTACACCTCCTCACACTAGCAAAAACAGATTCTCGCCACTACTAACTCTCCAAGACACCGGTGATATGAACAATACTACAGAAAACGACAGTACTCAGCAACCACAGGTCAGACCTAAAATTCCACCTATTTATGTTTATAATATTTCCGATTACGAAAACTTTCATACTTCTTTAGCAAATATAACATTTGACAATTTCTCCATTGTAAATATAAAATCTGCCTTAAAAATTAATTTAAACTCGATAGACGACTATAGAACCGCCACTAAACTTTTCGATGAATCCGAAATCGAATACCACACATACCAACTTCCTGAAAATAAACAACTATCGGTAGTAATTAGAAATCTTCCTGTAAACATATCGGAAGCTTGTATTTATAACGAACTTCAAGAACTTAAATTTGAAGTCGCTTCTGTCACACGCCTACAAAACCAATTCAAATCGCCAATACCAATCGTAGCAGTATTATTGTCAAAATCATCTAATGAAATATTTTCCTTAAACAGACTTTTACATTGCGTAATGATAGTAGAACCACGGAAACTCTCTAAGGATATTCCACAATGTACAAACTGTCAAAGATTTTCCCACACCAAAAAGTTTTGCCATTTACCATCTAGGTGTGTCAAATGTGCAGGTGGCCATCATTACAGTCAATGTCAGAAATCATTAGAAGTTCCTCCAAAATGCGTTAACTGTGAAAGTAATTACCCGGCTAACTATAGAGCGTGTACTTTTTATAAGGAGATATTAAAACACAAAAATAAAAATAAAACTAGTACAAATCTTATTCATAGCTGGAATTATTCAAACACAAAACCTAATGAAAATACTCAAAATATATATTCAAATAAAGATAACACTAATAAGCAGTACACGTACGCCTCTGCATGTAACAATAATCTTAATAACAGCAAATCAACCAAAAACACAGATAACGATAATGATTTTAAGAAAACTCTATTACCACTAATTACCACGTTTGTTACTCAATTAATGCAAAAAATAATTGCAAATCTCCCAGCTATCATAAACAGCTTAAACTTAAATACAAATGGATCTCCATAATACTTTATTATTAAACTGGAACGCCAACGGTCTAAAAAATCAAAGAAATACATTATTAGCTTTTCTTAATCACCACAACATCCATATCGCATGCATTACCGAAACTCACTTGTCGCATACAGATAAAATACAATTCCCAGGCTACAAAATATATCGCGCTGATCGTATTACACAATCTCGTGCCATGGGTGGAGTGGCTATCCTAGTACGTAACAAAATCAAACAACAACAACTGCCTTCACTTGCCCTGACGTACCTTGAAGCCGTAGCAGTTTCCATTAATATAAACAATAAATATATAACGTTCGTCAGTGCTTATCAACCTCCTAGTCGTCAAATGCTTATGGCAGACTATGAAAAAGTCATGAGCTTTGATAACTCAGTTATAATTGCCGGTGATTTAAATTCTAAACACATTAACTGGGGCTGCCGTGTTACAAATCCAAATGGCTCTAAACTACAAGCATTCATAGAAAACACACCTTTTTCAATATCAGCTCCAATTACTCCTACTTACTTCCCTACTGATATAAACCGCTTGCCGGACATATTAGATATCTTAATAATTAAATCTGTCCCATTTGCATGTGTACATGAACCTCTCATCGAACTCGACTCGGATCACATACCTGTTAAAATAACGATTAGTTCACTCTCTCTCTTCAGCCGTACAAACAACTCATTACTGAAAGGTAAAACAGACTGGAATAGATTTTCTAACCATGTACAATCTAATCTGAAGATACCAACAAGTATACCTACCACTCAAATAGCAGAACAAACAACCGATCATCTGACGGACGTCATAACAGAAGCCGCTCAGACCTGTTATAATTCCGTACCGCAAACTATACACCGTCCTGGCTACTTACCACACTTCATATCTTCACTTATTTGTCGTAAACATTTAGCTGGGCGCACCTGGCAAAATCATAGGAACTCTACAGATAAAAAAATACTAAACCTACTCACTAAAAAAGTTCAAGTAGCTTTACAAAATTACCGCGTATCCTCATACAATAGTTATTTGTCAAATATGCGACCGGGTGAATCAAACTTGTGGAAAGCAACAAAAAGGTTATTAAACCAAGATATCAACACCATTCCCCCTCTTCGCACCGATGCAAAACTTGTCATATCCGATCAAGAAAAATGTGATGTTTTTCAAACATGCTGTTCAATACCTTTTCTTCCAACCATATCTGTAATCCAAGCAACGAACAAAGAGTAAAACACACTTTAGATCTACCAAATTATGAAGTTCAAAATTCCATTAATTACGTAACGCCAAATGAAATCAAACAAATTATTAAAAATCTTCCGAACAAAAAATCACCGGGTCACGATAAAATTACAAACCTTATGCTAAAAAAATTACCACCGAAAGATCTAGAGTTTATGGCTTCATTATTTAACTCATTATTGCGACATGGTTACTTTCCATTCAAATGGATAGTTGCAACCATAATACTAATAAACAAATCAGGGAAGGACAAATCTAACCCTGACAGTTATAGACCAATCAGTCTCTTATCTTCAATTTCAAAACTGTTTGAAAAAATAATTCACACTAGACTTCTGTTCTATTTAAATGCCATGGACCTCATACCAAAATTCCAATTCGGGTTTAGATCTAATCATTCTACGGTTTAACAATTATTTAGAATAACTGAACATATCAATACCGCATTTGAAAAACATTGTCATACCGGAGCTGTTTTTATAGATATATCAAAAGCATTTGACAAAGTTTGGCACGAGGGCCTGCTGTTTAAACTAAAATCCATAAATACTCCATCTTACTTGTTCAATATTATTAACTCATTTCTACTTAACAGGCAGTTTGCTGTTAAAATAAATAATAACACCTCTGATCTTATGCCTATATCTGCTGGTGTACCTCAGGGCTCTAAGCTTGGTCCCATACTTTTCAACATCTACGTGTATGATATCCCTCAGTCACCTCGTACGAACATCGCCCTCTTTACAGATGATACTACAATTTTCACCGAATCACGTAACATAGAAGCAGTAGCCACAAATCTACAAGTTCATCTCAATACAATATCTTATTGGTGTAATAAATGGCGTATCCAAATAAATGCGTCAAAAAGTATAGGTGTTATTTTCAGTCTTCGTCCTTACCACCCCCCTGCACAACTAATTTTTAACAATGTAAATATACCTTGGAACTCGTCAGTGAAGTACCTTGGCTTGATATTGGATAAACGGCTAACTTGGCAGCCCCATATCTCTTCCAAACTTCAACAGGCATATCAGCGCCTTTCTATGTTATACCCTATCCTCAATAAAAAATCTTCAATACAGAAAAAATGCTCTCTTCTTATATACAAGCAAATCTTACGTCCAATACTCACTTACGCATGTCCGGTCTGGGGGAAATGCACGACCACCCACATCAGAAAAATTCAAATTTTTCAAAATAAAGTGCTACGCATTATTGCAAACGCTCCTTGGTTTATAAGGAACGTAAACCTACATAAAGATCTTCAGGTCCAGGAAATCTTAGGCCACATAAAAACGTCTTCAAAAAACTTCCATACCTCTCTGCTCAACTCTTCTGGCTCACTTCACTATAACCTCCACATACATCCGCCTCAACGTAGATTAAAACGTGGACGTCCGCATGACCTTCTGGTTTAACACCATACACAATACATTGCTAAAATATAAGTTAACTTGTATATATTATTCTATATATTTTATATTATGTTATCTTATACTTTATTTATTCTTAATTATTATTGTATCAGTCACTGTTACTTAATTATAGTCAGCTACGACTCAGCGTAACTACTACCAATGTTATTATTATGTTATTATATTCAATATTGTACATATATAGTATATATTAGTTAGTAATTATATCTTATTAATTATTTTATTCTTATTATTCTAATTAATTATCATGTTAAAATTGTTAAAAATTGTACCATTGTAATCATCAATAGATGTAGATAGCCAAGGCTAGAAACATCTTATTTAAAAATAAAAAAAAAAAAAATAATAAAAGAAGACATTAGAAACAAATTTGACTTTTTCTTAGAACAAGCAAAAATAATGTCTTCAGAAAAATGTTTTTCCTGGGAAATTTCAAGAAAGAAAAAAAGAAAAAGGTTTTTTGATGAAAATGAAACTGCAGATGAAAAAGTATTGGAAAGTTGTCAAAAGATGAAATGTGAAGTATTCATAGTTATAATTGACCGATTAATTATAAATTTATGTGAACGAAAACTAGCTTACACTGAACTTCATAAAAATTTTGGTTTTATATTAGTCATGGAATCAATGGATACAGATAATACACGTGACAGTGCTAAAAATCTAGTAGAATTATATTCAGAAGATCTAGATAGTTCGTTTATAGAAGAAGCAGTGCAATTTAAGTCAATTCTTGGTTTTTTTTCAACACAGGAAAAATCATCATTCATTAAGCTTTTAAAATGTCTCACTGATTCTGCACTATTGTCATCATTCCCTAACGTTGAAATAGCAATGCGTATATTTTGTTGTATGGCTTCAACAAATGCAAGTGGGGAACGATCATTTTCCGTATTAAAACGAATAAAAAATTATCTAAGATCCACTTTAATAGAGGAAAAAATGTCATCGCTTTCAATATTAAACATAGAAGATGATCTTTTAAAACATACTGATTGGTCAGAAATTATCCACCAGTTTGCAACCATCAAATCAAGAAAAAAATTAATATAAAAAAAAAGTAGTAATAAAAAGTAATAAATGATTATAATTTGACACATTTGGTAATTTTTTAAAATTTACATGTGAGATTTAATTAATAATTATAAAATTTAAATATAAGTAAGAATTAGATACTTAAAATATACATTTTATCGATATGAATAATTTGTAAATTTATTGTTTTTGCATATGTAGTATCTTTGCATCCTCTCCGTTTATACGCTACTGACTGTAATTAATAGTGTGGTGAACATAATTTTGAATTGTAATTTTCTTAAAGGCAGCATATTTTAATTTGCCCCGGGGCGGCAATATAGCTTAACGCGGCACTGAGTATATCTAAAAGAAATGATATATAATAAAGCACAATCGTTGTCGTTACTGACGATTTCCTGGGAAATATTAGCTATAATTTGTTACAAATAAAGAAAACTAAATCTTAGAACACCTTTTAACAGCTTAAAATTATAAATTAAAAGAAAAAAATTAGCTATTTGTATTACATACGAATAAAATAAATATTTAATAAAAATTTAGTGCTCTAAATCCGCCTCTGTAATTATCACAGTATGAGATAAAATCCAGACTCTTTTGTAGTGACAGGTCAAATAAAAAATATGCTTGAGTCTAAATAAATATGATGATATTATACAGGGCTCGAAATGGACCGGAACGCACCGGAACGCTGTTTCGGTTCATGACAACATTTTTTTAGCGGTCCGGTTCGTAAAAAAAATACGTTTACCGTTCCGGTTTAAACAAATGTTTTCTGTATCTACCATATTTTGGTAAAATTTAAGCATTTTGCAGAATTGTTTATTGTAAAATATTTAATAAACGTCCAATGACCGTGATGCATAAGTACATTTATTGCTTATCTACACGATAATCGCCGTCCGCCAATAATGTAATTTAGCTTTATTTACACAATACCACCTAATCTCTTTTTTATGCACATATACGTATGTGAATTTTAAAAGTTAAAAATAAAGCATTAGATTGTTTGAATTGTAAAAATATAAAAAATTTAGTATTATCTGTTGATAACATAACTCTTCGCTTTTCCAAACCTTATTCTATAATTTCGAATGGAAAGTCAAAAAAAACCTAAATGTCTAGTTTGAGAAAAAAAATATTTGAACCCAAAAAATCTGACGCTTGTCTTATAGCATTAAAATTACATAAACAATCAAAAGAAAAACAAATAGAAAAAATTTTCGAAATCAAATTATTGAAAGTATTGAAATCAAAGTTCACTATTACTGAAAAAGTTTTTAGAACTATTTATAAAATTGTAAAAACTCAAAGGCCTTTTGTTGATTTACCAAATGAAATAGATAATAGATTAACAAGTTTTAAATAATATGAATATGAGAAACATTTTACACTCTGATAAAACGTCTGTGGATATAGCACTCCACAAAGCATCAGATATGAAAAAAAATGATGTGCCAAAATATAATTTTAACTAAAACAGTATTAAATAAAAGATACAACTTATGTATTTAAAAAAGGTAGTACTTCAGGAAAGGGAAATTATAATTTTGGTGGGTTATAGCTCCAAATCCTATGGTATGTATTAAAAAAAAAAGAGTTTCGGTTCAGAAAATTTTCCATTTTGAGCAATGATATAATATATGCATACATATATTAATAATATGTATATATCCATCACGATTAAAGAGTAAGATTAAAGTATCAAAAGAACACGTGAAGATGTCCATAATTGATTATACTTTAAAATTACTTTATTTTACTTTAGTACATTCTAAGCTTGATTTTGAAAGTCTTGCTAGTTGGTGAAATAGCTCGATAAATTAATTACTTATCTTCACCATACCGTTAGAAAATTGAAAATAATATTTTACAATTGTTGTATCTTTAATTTAAAGAAGGTATATTGAAGCATCATTCTGGTTATTATGTTGTTCGTGGTTTTTTCTTGCAATTATGTTTTTGGATATTCTAATTCTTATAGCTTAATTAAGAAGAACTACATGACTACCGTAGGTATTTATTTTTATGTCTACAATAACCTTAATAATTTTTATTCATCTCTCTTTGATCTAACAAAGATTTTTTGATGTTTGTATATATATATATACAGAGGTCGCCACTTATTGGGCCCATGGTTAATTGACTCATTTGTCTATTAGAATCAAAACGGCTGGGCATGATTTGCACATATATTAACACACAGCAAACAATTCGTCTATTCGACTAACACACCGGTTAATAGGGTCATTTTAAAACAAGATAAATCGAGAAAATATGTACATACATTGAACAAACGTGTTATAAATTCGATTTAAGTTGATACTGAGATGGATCAATACTGACATATAAGTCCAAAATACTAAACTTGTAACCGAGGAGAAAAATATGGTGAAATGCAGTCAAAACGGCAAAAACAAAATGTGTCTGGTGATAGTGACCAAGAGGAACCTAATGAGAAACCACCATAAACTAAACAAATGCTAGAAGCGCTTCAAATTCTACGTAGAGGGATTTAGCAAAGAGGCAATTTTGACATATTCAAGCAACATAAATCCTACGAAGATATGATTATGAAGTTGTCTGAATAAGGGAAAAATCCAATCAAGCTTGAATAAATTTTATCGAAAAATTAATTAGATTACATAAATATTATTTTATTTAATTTTTAATAGAGCAGCTAGATTTTTATTTTTATACTCAATAAATATTTTTTAAGTAAATAAGTTTTTAATTTTAAGCATTTTTAAATTTTTCTTAGTCATTCGCCTTATTGATTCATTCGGTTAATGGACTCAAATGGTCAGGTCCAAAGTGAGTTTAATTAGCGGCGACCATTGTATATACATGTATGATCAGAGTTGATCGCAATACATTTTTTTCTTTTTTTTTCTTTGCAGTCAGTCAGTCGATTACTGATCGTAACATTTTTACTTTAATTATATTTCATACTAATCGGAATTTTTAGAAAAAAAAAATTATTATTATATTAAATACATGTACGTCACCTCTCCAGTTCATCCAAAACCATTCACCGCCGAACGCCGGTACCGAATACACGCCCCAGTGGATGAACACTCCGAACTTCGCCTGGTCGTACCACGCGGGCAGCGGCCTAGCGTCCAAGCTGGTCCAGTCCGGTTCGTACCGCCGGACGTCCGAGGTGGTGGACGTACACGCGGCGAACGCTGCGAGTGCGACGACCGCCGGCAGCCACGCGCAAGTTTCTCGGCAACGCAACATATCGCGCGTGATTCACGTGTACGCTACGTTGATCGCGGGATCGCCAACTGAGCTCGGACAAGCGCGGTCGAGATCGAAACTGAGGGATGTGCGAACGTATGCGAACGCGGACGTTCCGCCGACGTACTGTTCGTACTGTTCGTTGACGAGCGGTACGACGACGGTGGCGTTCAGTGGCGGTGTCTGGTGTGCGACCCGTGTCCGTACGCTGGCCGTGTGCGCACGCGTACACGACACGCGCAAGAACTCGATGCCGAGGACGCGATGTTTGCGCACATGCGGGCCGGACCCGGACATTTCGCCGCGGACCGGTTCGTCGCCGGACCACCTCACCGCCGTACCGTTTCACCGCCGGACCACCTCGCCGTGACGAAAACCTCCCCACGAAATGTGATTAACACCAATAATGTACCTATCATTAAAGATTGATGTACATCAATACTACGGTTATATTTTATCGAACCTCACCACCCGACTTTTTGTATGCGTTCATCCTTGATTGATATTCTTTGAGTTGTGAAACATCAATTCTGATGTGTTTCTCAATTTGAATCGAGTACATTTGATCACCCTCACCACCTCACAATACAATTTGCAGCTTTAATTTTTGTTCGACACTACACCGATTGGTGGCGCATTAAAGGGGGGGGGGAATTTGCCCCTTTCAAAAATCAACTTTTATTATTGATGATTTTTTTTTAATTTTTACACCTCTTTCGGTATTATTAAGTATTTTAAAAAATATTGTTGAGCATCTAATAAGAAATTAAAAAATTATACTATACCAAGTCACCTAGGTAATACTGAAATAGCAAAATAAGTATATTACATTTATTATTCGGTAAGATATAATATTTTCATTCAATGTTTATAATAAAGGCTCGGGTACACAGAACGCGGTATTCACTATAGGGTACATTTAAAAAATTTACAAAAGAAGAGTAAAATTGTACCTAAAAGTGTTTGATGAATGTTAGTATTTATAAAACCAAATAGTTTAGTTGAAGTACGTATATCCTTTTATTGATATTGCTCTAAGGATGCTATAATGTACACCTTCAAGTAATTGTTCAACGGAAAAATAATTTTCTACATAAAAAAGCGTCAAAACTTATTTAAGATCAACAATGGGAGAAAATCTCCTGCTAACCTCTCTGCTAATTCATTAGCAACCCTCAACATTGAAGCTGATTTAACAAAAACTATTAATTTTAATGATATTATTGAAACTTTTGTTTCTCAAAAGTCAAGAATAAACTATAAGCTATCAATTATTTTATCACAGTTAACAAGTTGTTTCCCGACGAAATTATTGATACACGAATTGTGTCCCGACAAAAATTTATATTTTAATATGTTTTACTATTTGTATTTTATTTTATTATCGTGCAGAAGTTAAGGTGTACATATGTCACGTATTATTATAAATATTGAAATAGCAATTCATTTTGTAATTGCCAATGTGTGGTCAACGATAGAAATTAAAGGCTGTCGCTCGCAATTTGATCAAGGTTGGTGGTGAAAAATTCAAGAAATCGGCTTATCAGCAAAATATAAAGATCAATCTTCGGAAATAAGCAAATTTTTAAAGTACATTTTTGATTTGCCATTTCTTTATCCAGATGAAGTAGAAAATGTATGTAATGTTTCAAATAATTCCGAAGTTCTTAAATTTGCAACTTAACTATGTTTTATGATAACTATGTCATGAATTATGCCGTATTTTATTCCTGTGAAAAATATTATCTACGTATTATATGTGTAATATTGTAATTGGAAAATGTATCACTTTGTATATTCAACTTATGTAGATGTTCCTGTAAATTTTATTCTTTGGAACATAATTCGTGTAACCCAAAAAAATCCATCGGACACAACTCGGTATTTAGAACATAAATCGTTTACGACCAATAGGTCGTTTTATTATGTATAACTAATAATAAATATAATGTATTTAATCTAATAAAAAACCATGCATTGTTAATCATTGTGCATATAATAAGTGTTGATTGCGTTTTCTATATTTAATATATATATACATTTTTTTTTTAAGAAAGGGAATTCACTTTGAATAAAAAAGATTAGGTTAACGTTAGGATATGTATTACTATAAAATTATCTAATACAATATCGCAAAACAACTGATTTATAATTTGTTTCATAAAATTAATTTTTTTATTGCTTAACTTTGAATTTATTTATATATATATATATATATATTTTTTAATGGGAAGGGCGGAAAAATTATTTTGCCCCGGGGCGCATTTATATTAAACACGCCATTGACACCAATACTACCTTTCACATATTTGTTCCTTATTTTATCTTCTCCTGTCACTCCACTCATCCATACTTTTTCAATATCACACTTCTCATATACATCTAATATCACACATTCAGTTCAATTAGTATCGTTTATAAGTTTGAAATTCTTATGTGAATACCTGTCACTGTGGGCCAAAGAGAGGCAAGTCATACTACAGATCCAACATCTTCAAAACGGAAAAAATAAATAAAATATAGTTATGTTATGTTATATAAGTCTCAACCTAAATCATAACACTCTTACGATTGTAAATTATAACACATGTACAATGGTAAAATGTACTTAATAATTAATATATATAGTAGGTATTAATTAAATAAAAATATAAATTAGTTTTAGAATTAAGTTATAAAGAATAACATAAAGACGTACACACATAAAGTAGGTAGCTTACGGTTAAAATCACTTAAAATTCTAATTTAAAAATATTGTTTGGTAACAGGTTATAACCGGTATTAACCACAACCGTAACCGTAACTTCAGTTTCATATTTTTAAAATTTATAATTTAAACCAAAACTTCGGGAATTTTTTTCTGAAAAACCTAACCGAAACCGAGACCGGAAAAAACATAAAGGTTACAATCCCTAATTAATTTAGTCAATATTTTTTAAGAATGATACAAATTCTGAAAAAAACTATACCTGTATTTACTGGTATATTGTAGTGAGTTAATAAAAACAATCGCCATGCTGATCAGAAAATTCAAAAAAAAAAATAGCGTCATCAAATGCTAGTAAATAATTAGACGTCATAAATGTATATAAATGAAATTGCAAAGTAGATACACAAACGTACAAACAATTTTTAAATATACATTTTTATTTTTTGTAGCATTTTTAAGTAGAAACTATCAAGTTGAGAATAAATTAATTAATTCAATTTCAGGGTTGATTAAATCTCTATAGTCACCCACTCGGCATACTACTGATAGCACCAAGCCAACAGTCAAATTTGTGTACACTGGGCATCCCGCCGAAGAGCTAAACTAGTCTTAATAGAGGGTCAATGGTATTTAATTATAGATATTCCCGCTACGTTAAAATATAGAAAGCCCTTATAAAACATTCGTGATATATTTTTACCTTTGTTACTTCCACTATTCTTTCCTTTCGCCAATACTTGTAGTGTGTTCAATTATTCAAATCACTTGGCCATCAGGCGTCCATTATAACTTAGACACGTATAAATAATATAATGACACAAGCTAAACGTGGAAACGTAATAAAGAGAGAAAACAAACTGCATATTATCGCACACTAGGTGTAAAATTATTTTTAACTGTTGGTATGGTTTTTGGTGGATAATAAGTTTATAACAGTTGAAAAAAACGTTTATTTTTTAAAATTCGCAATCGCATGGCATTTTTTCTTTTAATGAAGTTCATAAATAAGAAATAATTATTTTATAATTAAATAAATGAGTTTTAAAAAATGTATAGTTAAAGATTATATAGACATTAGACTTAACCTAATAGGTATCCATAATATGTATCTACGAATATGAGAAAGAAAAAATTGCAGACCTACAACGAATTACGAAATCGTGGAATACATAAGAACGGCCTATAAGAAAAATCAAGCATTTATTTTATTCTAATTTGAATTAAATACCGATTGTATTAATTAGCTTGTGAAAGAATGATTATTCAAAATGTTTGACTTAATGAAGACATAAGCACTAAGTGAAGCTAAAAAGTAATCAACCAATTTAACCCATTCAAGTTAGTTATCCAAACGAAAATCAATTCAAACCTATAATAATAATCCAATTACGGCGTTCGTTTAATGACTATTTACTTACACTCGAATATATACCTAAGCTATAGGTCCTATAGGCTATAACTCAAAAGAAAATTTCTTTAGAAATGTTAAATCAAACAATATTATAAAATGCAATGTACATACGCTTATATAAAGAATAAACATACATGCAATAGCGCTTAAAATGTTCTTCCGCTGTTTAACAACAATAGTGCGATCGAAAAAAAAACGTTAATCAAATACTCATTTATGCTATATAATTATTTACCTCGTCCTGCTATAGCTTATGGTATATATTAGCAACCTCACTCTCCACAATTAGCTTATAATTTACTGTATTTGCACTCAACGCTTGCCCTAAAATACTATCTAAAAATCCATGCAAATTTTCAAAATAACTCTTACCCGGTAAAACACGATTGCTCAATTTTTTGTCTTTTTACCCGACTAATTACACCACGATTGCGCAAAAAAATTGTAACACGATTGCGCCCCGATCCCTTTTTACCTGATAAAATCACAACACCATTGCACATTAATTTATATGTACGAGTACATACTATGTATAATAATTTATGTATAATATAAAATAATGTATACAATACATACTTTTTATAATTTGAATATACATACACTCAAACTATTAATTCACAAAATGCACTTTTTCAAAATCGAAATGAAAAGTTGATTGAGCTAATTATAGTTATAATAAAAATATCGACTAATGATTAAAAGTATAGAAAAAAAAAAATTTTTATTAAAAAAAATGTCTACTATTGACCATATCAGTAAATACATTTAGCATCACATGTAATTTAGAAAAAAACAATTTTTAACCAAGCCGATAATAATAACGATGATAATTTGTTAACAGTTGTAAGCCTGTAATAATTAGGAAGAAAAATTGTGAATTAATAGGTAATAAGTTTGAGTGCATGTATATGAAAATTATATGAAGGAAGTATGTATTGTATACATTATTTTATGTTGTATATAAATTATTATATATAGTATATACACATGTAATTTGGTACGCAATGGTGTTGTGATTTTATCAGGTAAAAAGAGATCGGGGCGCAATCGTGTTGCAAACCTTTAACCAACTAATTTTTAACTTATCCTCAGATAATTCACCTCGATGTCTCAAACGTAACTGGACTTGTGAGTTTTTCATTTAAATAATCAAAAAAAAAAAAAAAAAAAAATGATTACTGTTATTTTTATTAGAATAATTATTTTCCTAGTCCTGTATAGAAGTCGACTTTCAATAATTTATTTGAAATATTATATATTAACTTTTTTAGTTGGTATTATTTTGCATTTTTTCACTTTTTATTACCGAGTTTAATAATTAAAAAATCAAAATTCGGCTTCTATACAGGAATAGAAAAACTTCTTGTCTACAAGAAAGATTTTCTCCAAAACCACTTAATAAGCCATATTATTGAAAATGTGAAAACTCATTTTTATACCATTTTTTACTACTGTTGCTATTTTGTAAAAATATCTGATGATATAATGTTAATCATTAATTTTAAAATTAGCAGCTAATGTTAGAACGCGCATTATCAATTATTATACATTGCGCTACCTGAGTCGCCAGAATTGCCATTCTATGATGTAGCTGCTGCTGCTATTTTACATTAATGTGTTTTAATATAACAGCAGCTATAGTATGGTATAGGAAAACATACAAACCATAGTACGAAATTTAGCAATCACTGCTATTGTTTACACTGAATAGTAGTTCTATTATAGCTGATTTTGCTATTTTTTTACCATCACTAATTGTCAGTACGTGTTCTATCGTTAATCCTAAATCACGTTTGTTTAATACTTTAAAATGTTAGCAGTCGAATTATTTAACAAATTATGTGATTATTTTTTTTAAAAATACCGTATTATAATGTTTAAAAAATAAACTATTTCCACAAAATAATGAAACCACATATAACACAGTGAAACAAAGATGCACATAAGAAAACAAAGATTAATTATGGGTGATAGATACTGAAATCAATACTATACGATATATCACAAAAAGATGTCAGACATAAATCAATAAAATAAACAAATAGATTTTTTTCATTTGCTGATTTTAATGCACAATGCAATTTAAATTTCAGTTTGAGTCACATACAAGTATTCATTTATAATTGGTCACAAAATGTACCTATTAAAACGGTTTCTATGATAATTTAACTTCAAATGTAACCAGTTGACTTTTAAGACCCATATGGATCTACGGCTCTCAAATTTGGGGTTGTGCCAAACCGTCCCAATTACAAACCATCTAAGCATTCCAGTCCATATCCCTCCGTCTCATAACATCTGCCCCATGGTACGTAACAAATAATACACTTCACAAGGACTTAAAAATACAAACGGTTGAACATCTAACTAAACAATACTACACCAAATTTCACAAAAAACTACATCTACACCATAATCCTCTTATCTCCTACTTGTCATCACGTACACTTCCCGACAACCCCCCTCGACATTTTAAAAGACGCTGGTGTCGTGATCTTTTATGATCTAAAAAAAAAAAAAAAATTAAAATTAAAAAAAAATTTAATTTAGATTAATTTAAATCTGAAGGGTTCTATCACTGGATGGTCTCCCTTATCCTGTCACTCTGTCTTTATATTATATTGTGTTGTACATATTATCACATTTACTCAATGTGTTTTGTTAATACAGATTGTAAATTTTCAAATAAAAAAAAAAATAAAAATAAAAAAAAAAAAAACCAGTTGACTGGTATAACTTGTGTAAAGACGTGTATTGTTCATTATTTGAAAACCATCAGAAGATGAGAGGATAAATTTTTGGAACATTAATGAGGTGGAGAAAAGAGAATAATCGAGGAGGACCGCTGCTAGGTGATCGATGTTATAAACAATTACAAGATAATTCGGCAGACTTTAATTATGACAGTGATCAAGAGAATCAAAATAATCTAGTCGATTTACATATATCCAACAGAAATTATGGTCACATATAGAGAAACCTTGTGTATTCGAATTATGTATTCAAATTGGAGACAATTTGAAATGAAGGTTTTTTTGTTATATAAAAACGTAATAAAGAAACTAATTCCGATTAACGAAAAAAAAATATTACCGGGTTCGATAGTATCAGACGAATGGAGAACATGTATGTTCAAGAAATTATGTTATGTTATATGTATTATGTTATTTTTTATTATATTCAAGAATATATTCTTGTTTAAAAAATAGGGGCTATAATTATAGAACAGTAAACCATTCAAAAAATGTTGTTGATCTAATTAGTGGAACTCTCACACAAGCAATTGAATATTCATGAGAAGTATTAAAAATTAAAATTTAACAAAAAAAAATGCATAGAACATCAATTGAAATATTGTCACGTCATTTAATTCAGGTATGATACCGATCCATTAAAAAGCAGGATACAATTTTTTTTTTAAATGTTAGTGAAAACTGTTTCGCAGTTTTTCGCTAACAAGTCGGTAAATTGACAAAATCAAAGGACACAGAAAAATTGTTTGTTTTTAAAATTATTGTTTTGTATTTTTTCGTGTTTCGCGTTGCATATGAAAGTACTGCGAAATACTATGAAACGGGAAACGCACATAGTTTGTAGTGACCTTAATTATAAAAATAACATAATTTTATGATTTTTAATTTGACTGTTTTCAATTTAATTATCGGTTCGGTAGGTCACGTATTTTATCGGTCACATATTAATCGAATAGCGGCGGAAATTAAATTATAAATTGCCGAATTCCGTCCCAGGCTGCTGAAAATGACCGAGTTCCGTCCCAGAGGCGCATAATCTATGTCTGAATTCCATCCTAGGTAGGTAGAAATAATAATGGTATATCCACCCATATCAGTAATAGTCAGTACAATTCAAAAGTAAAATATAATTTTGATGACACCAGTTTATGTGTCAGGATTCGTCTAAGTTTTTACCAGCCTATTTCAAAAAAATCTAAAAAATAATAATTTACATTTTCATTTCCAGTTAGCTGATATATTTAGCCGGGTTCTAGTAAAAAAAATAATTTAAATAATAATTAAACATAAGGCTGTTTTACCGGATTTTACATTTTAAACATGCCGGTAAAGCTGCCAGTCTTAAGCCTGAAGAAAATGTGAAGGAAAATGTTACCGCTACCTATATCATAGTAACAAACAGGTAATAGGATGGAATTCGGACATAGTTATTCCGCCTCCGGGACGAAATTCGGTACCAGCCATTAAATTAAGCTTAAGACGTTTTTAAGAATATAATTCAAGTATTATTATTCTTTAATTATATATTATATAAATTATAATGTAAATGTATTTTAACGAATCTAAAATATTTTATAAAAAATATTTAATAACTATGCATAATAGTATAAAATTCTCAAAAACTCTTTTCATAGTTTCATAGTTATTTTCAGAGCCCAACCCCAATTTCCTTTTATTCTAGATCTATCTTCAAGCTTAATTGTCAAACCACCTTTTGATCGATGTTTCCACTGCAAATGTACAAATATTGTTTATATGGAACGTTCGTATTTTAAATAATAAAAATGCAATTTTAAATTAGTTACATTTAGTTTACTCTGGGTTTCCAACATAATCACAGATTCAATATTTAACTTATCCAGACATTCAGAGTTAAGCTTATTTTCTTTGGGCCATTGCATGAATATTGAATAAATTATTGCCGGATTATTTCCTTGAGTAAACCTTAAAATTAAAATCATATAATATATATATATTATATACATGGTGAATAATAAATTACTTTAAAATATAATGCTAATCATCTTACCACAAATATGAATTGTAAGTATCATTTTGGCACTTTGACCACGGCTGACTGTTGTAAATAGATTCACCGTTTACGGATAACCATTGACCGATCTGTAACAAGCGTTCTTCGTGCAACGGCGGAATCATGCCATCACTAGTTGGGCTTATGTTTAATAACAGATTACCTGAAAATTCAAACCAACTTATTCGAATTCATCTTTATATATATGATATATTATTTGACGGCGCACCTCCAAAGCTAACTGTTTCCACCAACTGAGTGATTAGATTTTGAATGGTGTACACATCTAATGCTCGAGCATTTTTTCTGTAGCCCCACGAATACTTATCGATCGTCATAGCGTTTTCCCATTTTCTGCCAACTATCTTTCCTAAAATACGATTTTTACTGTAAAAAGTCACGTAATCAAATCTTTTCAAATCAACGCGTTACCTGGTTGATACCTGTCTGCACAAGTCAAATATCCACCGTGTTTACATAGCGTATCAGTCCCCCAACGGTCGTTCACAACGATTGTGTCTTTCACGGGGCTATCGTTGTACAACCAAGCGAGAAAATTCAACGAATCCCAATAAGTGGCTGGTGCTTCCCATTCGCCATCCGACCATATGACTTCTGGCTTATAATTGTTCACCTAAAGCACAATAATATTGCAATATCGGTAAAAAAAATGGAATGTTGTATTCAATGTGCCGTATTTGATTTACCAATTCGTAAAGTTCCGGCAGAACTTTCTCGGTCACAAAAGTACGGGTAGTTAGATTGGACTGTTTGTCTTGCACCCAAAGCGGGTTAAACCACTCGTATAACGAATGGTACACACCAAACCTAGTAGAATTTAAGTTTCTCACGGCTCTGCTCAGTTCTCCTATTTTCCATGTGTAATGTTCATCGGTTAAATAAATCAAATAAAATATATAAATATTACGATACACAAACCTACTAGATCTCTGTGTGGTCCGACGTCTACGGAGTTCCATCCAAACGCTCTTTTTGACGGCCACATCGTGTATCCTTCGTGGTGTTTAGTGGTCAGTACTACGTATCTGATTAGTAAAAAGTAAAAACCGACCAATGTTCAAGTTTAGGACAAGTAGGATTATAAAAATCTATCGACTTATTAATTACTTTGCCCCGGAGTCTTTGATTATGCTAGCCCATTGCACGGGGTCGAAGAACTCTGCAGTGAACTGTGGACCAAAATCTTGGTACGTGAAATCGGGCTTGTAGTTTTTTGTCATGTAATTTACGTAAGCCGCTCCTTTCTTACCTATGTGTAGATATATTTATTGACGCGGTCCCGTCAAAGCTGAGGTACATCATGTACACCACTATTTATTTAACGTATGGCAAATATAGCAGATTTACAACAATATTACACAATAAAGTGAGCAAAACAAATACAATAAGTAATATGTACACCACTATCGCGGACCTGCGCTCGCTTTTTACCCAGATACAACCCGGGCGATAACACCGGTTCGGCAAAACCCACCGACCTCATACTCCGGACAAAGGAGGGGATAGTTGCCGAAAACCAGTGACATTTTTACTGACAACCACCACCGGTTACTTCGGTTCCGATCCATTCTGCACAACACCGAAACGTCTTCGACTGTTCTTTTGTATTTTGATTAACATATCTTTGTACGAAGAGTGCTCATAGAACTCTTGTGTTTTTTTCATCGAATGATTATAAAATTAATATACACCAATTCTGTTCAATATAATAACCAATCGAGTAGTTATTTCTTTTGACCGGCAACCCATCGAGGACCATAACAAGCGTGCCATGTCAATATATATAAATATATACTTATTGAATTATTATATTAAAAACCATAACTTAAATATTCCAATTCATTTTATTGCTACCCGTTCCCGTTAATTTATTTCTTACGACATCAAAAAATTATATTACAATTCATTAGATATTTTTTAATGACAACTTTATACGGTTATCGAACTGTCGATCGTTGGTTGCATTAGGCTACTGGAGTCATAGATAATGAAAGAATACTTTTTTATCTATGACTGGAGTAATAATAACCGATTATTAAATAAATATTAATAATGTTTTAAAATATTTAATTTTCTCATAAAAAGCAATATGGACCTGTTGTATTATATGTCATCGTCAATTAATTCATTGAATTAACGGCCGTTCAGTAGTCCCAAACATTTGTTTAGCTTGCAGAGATTTCAATTTTTTTAATTTTACGCATATTATAGCCTGTACACCATATAAACCTTTTTAATATAAATATTTCACAATAATTACTATTAAACATGTTTTAATAATAAAAATATTACCATTGTGTTATTTTCAGTCTTTGTACGCTTTTCACTAAACAAACTAAAATAGTAACAATCACAAAAAGTTGAAAATTCAAGTTATTATCATTTTGACTACATTTTTTTCAAAATGTTTTCCTATTCACCTCATTTTACGGTATCACTTGTATCTGGACATACTGGATGTATTGCTTATATATAATGGATTTTCTTTATCAGTAAATATAAGTAATGATATTTTTCATTGATATTTTGTTGTTGTGGTTTTCTGATTGGAGATATCAGTGAATCTGACCATACAAGCAACATATTCTTCATTTTGATACGTTCTAGAATTTTTCTTAGTATGATGCTCACTAAATAATTTATAAACTTTGTTACGATTATACTGAGCTTCTTCTTCTCTGAGCAGATAATTCTCCTTAACAAAAAATTATACATATAATAGTTTCAGTTTTGATAATAATTTATGAAATTTAATTTAATTCACTTATTGGTAAAATCATATCACGATCACATTATCACCATGTATCAATATTTTGTGCACACTCGGGGACATTTCGAACCCATGGTTTTATAACCATGAGTATAAATGTAATCTGTTTTTAAATACAGTTTTACTGTCTCAATCCCTTAATTTTGGAATGCATCCTAGTTTACCGAATGACTACTTGCCTAGCTAATTAAATATTGCCTAACCGTTTATTTTAATTTAAGTTTAACCCAGTACCATTTCTAAAGCCTTTTCGTGATTCTGAAAAAATGTTCTTTCAGTATTTCCATTATTAGTTGTACCATACCCATATTATAATTAAATACTAGAAAGAATAAACTAATATAATAAAATATAATATTGACTCTTAAAAGTAATAAAATTACTAACCTTGCAATACAACATTATCTAAAAGTCTCATTTTAGTTTTAAATGTTTCTTGAATTTTTTTTTTCTGTACCTAACTAAACAAAATTTTATTTTCTTTCGATCTCAACTATAAACTATATATAAATTAATATTAAAACCATATACAATATTATTGAAAGTACCCAATTACCCTTCAAATTTTCAATAGTAATCGATGAGTTATGTGCAATAGATATTCGAAAAACCGTATTCACGTATGTAAGGTAGATAAACTAAACTTGAGATTTTCAGGATTCACAGATAGCTTTTGAACTTTTTCAATAAAATTATTATTTTTTATAGAGCAATTATAAATATAACAACATTTCCTTGATTGTTATATTTATATATTTATTATATATTATTATTATATATATTTATATATATTTCCTTGATGAGTTATACACCTGACATTTTTTAATGTTGTTAAAAAGATATATAGTTAAGCCATTCCGAATTTTTATTCTAAAATGGGTTAAATGTTACATGCTGACCATTTTTGTTATAAAAAAAACTGAATAGGAAAGTAATTGAGCTTCAATTTTTTATCATATACAGCCCTCCAATACTTCCCTAAATACTTTTGTCAAGTAAAAATGATTTCGAAGAATAACTTTGTGGTACTTTTCCATATAAAATCTTCTTTTGTAAAATGATTTCTATTATTATTGATACTGGAAAAATTTAAAAGTAAATATTGTGAGAACTCCATGGGGCAAATAAAGGCAAATTATAGTTGTTTATATAAAATAACCAATACCTCAGGTATATTAAATACATTTTGTTAATATTAGTTACCTAATTATTAATTAAATCTTTTTTTTTAAATATGTATAAATTAAAATCAAACTGAGAAATCTTAAATTGCTACTTCATGCTCAAAAAATTATTATGTTTAAAAAAATACACTTACTTAAAAACATTGACTTCCATGTTAAAATATATTGGCAAAAGAAATCCTAACAATTTACACAAAACAACAGTCAGAAGAGAAATGAACAAATAAAATTTAGAAACGTCCAATGCATGTACAATAAAAACTACACTTAATATTATTTTAACCAGTTTTTATCGAGTTCATACACAGATAACAATTGCACGATGGTACGTTTATCATATTAGAAATTCATGTTAAATCAAATAATTTAACAAAAATTTAAAATTATCTTTTGGCAAGTTAAATTAATGTTTGGGACCACTGTGAGCCGGTCGAAAAACAAATATTGTCGGTGAAGACTTATTTTCATAACACAAGAGCTGTTCAAAAAAATAAGTAAACTCACGTCATAAAACAAAATGGGTAAGTACTCTCACAGAATTTCGTCATCGACCCTGTCGGAAACAAAATTTGCCCACAGTAAAAATATATTTTTCCGGTCCAGACGCTGCTTTAAAGTTACCGAGAGTGAAAGTTATAGGGGAGGGATGTGAGTTTTTTTTTTTTTACTTTACCTCTCCAATTCATCCAAAACCATTCACTTCCGAACGCCGGTACCGAGTAAATGCCCCAGTGGATGAATATTCCGAATTTCGCCTGGTCGTACCACGCGGGCAGCGACCTAGCGTCCAAGCTGGTCCAGTCCGGCTCGTATCGTCCGACTTTTGCGGCCGATGAGACAGTGTACGCGAGCGCTACGACTACCAAGGTCGTGGTTGCGGTACCGCGGACAGAAGCCGACATACCGTGTCGCGGAGACCAACTTTTGATGGATCGAGTTCGCTCGCGCGTCCTGAGCACGTCCGCCACTGGTAGGGCTGCTATGGATTTACTGATAGTACGCGGTTGTGTTGTTATTCAAGAATATACGACAGATTTACATATACAAAAAAAAAAAAAATCCTCAAAAACGATTTGCTTCTAGAAAATCATGAGCACACGACGAAAGAATTTGTATTTACCGATAGACGATGTTGAACTAATAATAGAAAAAAGGGATATACTACAAAAAAAGACTTGATCATTTATTTATCGAAATCGAGTTGTTGTTTAGTCGCCTTCACCAATCTTATGATCTTCACCAACGTAGTATTAAATACGCATCAATGTATAAAATAGTAAATTCTCTGTCAACAAAATATCAACCCCGTAAGACCACTATATTTGAAAGAGTGAAATAAAAAGGTTTTAATTCGTTATCGAATTATATTTTATACAAATATGATTTTACAAATTTTTCCGTTCCCAAACGATTAAGTGCTGTCACCGCAAAATAATACTATGTACGCAACACGGTCACTGACCGGTTCGTCATCGTAGTCACCATGACATTTGCATACCGTATCGCATATTCCCGCTTCATTAGAATAAGCATTGAATTTATAAATAAATATAATTGGTCATTATATACTTAAATATCGAGGTCGTCGTGTTTATATATAAGGTTGGGAGTAAAAAAGCAATTGAACTATTGAACCGTGTGGTGGTGTGTAAATAAATAAGCACATATGTCATTATTCATAATATAGAACTTTATAATTTCAAGACAATGGTGGTAGGATAGAAAAAACAAAATTTTTATACAAATATTTAACACTTACTCACGAAATATATATTTACATACTAAATTATGCTTATTCGGGTGATTAAGAAATCATCTTAAGAAAATTACTTTCTTATTGAAAATAAACTTTCAAATATTTATCATTACAATTGCATAGATCTCATAGTTCACTGATGTTGAGTTAAATATACGACGACAGTTCTTCCTAATTATATTTTATATCAATTTTAAAAATCCATTTTTTTTTTTTCATATTGTTATTTATAAAATACACGTTTATTTTTTAACCGTATCGTGACAACGTTTAGCGAAATTATTGAGGTAATCATAATATGAATATATTATATTCAAACAACTAATGAATCGGCAAACACAACATTTTAAAATAACGACCTTGGCATTGCAGCAATACAGTGTGAGTGGAAACACTCAATAATTATGAGCAGAATGATTATATTTAAATTCTCTTATTTTGACCAATTTAAACACATTATACACCTTTTAGAATAAGTTGACTATTTTTGTGTTCATCAGTTTTGTGTATGCGCACAATACATTTTTTTTTTAAAAAACTTGGTTTATTTTTGACTCAGTATTATTTTCCTACTATTTATTTAATTCATTTAAAACGATGAATTTATTTCCTAAGATAAACAATGGCCTAGTTATAGTATTTTGAATAATTTAAATTATTTTCACGGGCAGCTGGTGAGAAATTTTTGTTTTACATTTATATAACACAAATGAATATTAATATTTTAATTCGAAAAACCTTTATTTATCTAATAAATGTTTTGAACTGTACACCATAGTGCAATGTATACAATTTTCAACGCGAATTAAAAATTCTCGATTGATAGCAAAATAATTTGTTTCTCCATAAATTCATTACATGTTGAAGTTATTTTATTTTTCAAATCAAGAAGACGTAGGTTACCGATTTCATATGACTTCTGTTGATTTTAAATGCCGAAATTCCCTTGCTTTTCCTTTATTCTCTTTAGGTTGTCCTTAAGCAAAGTAATTTTTCCCACTGTATGGAAAACATGCTTGATTATTCCTATCCTGAAATCTGGTAATCTATTTGATATGTCGAACTTTATCCAATCTTCTTTGTCTGGCAAAACTTTTCGAATCTATAATCCACTCTTCCATTAAAATAAGTGTTAACCACATAATCCACAATAAACAACATGGTCTTAAATCTGGAAAATCTACTATCACAAGTAGTTTAGATAACATCTTTCACAAATTGGATAATCCAAAAACTGGTTCTCAAGTTGCGTATGGTTAATTCCTTCTCTCATGGCTTAAGGAAGCAATTTGTCTCCATCAGTGGTTTCTCTCCAATATTTCAACCCTGGTGTTACCCAAGGTGGTCATCTTAGTCCCTTCTGTTAATTTTATTTATGAATTCTCTAAATGATTGTTCATATTTTGTTAAAGTTATCTTATTTGCCGATGACATAAAACTTTACTTAAAAGTAAATTTTCCCTCAGACTGTCATCATTTTAAATCTGATCTTACTCTTAACATCGGAAAATATCACATCATGCCCTTCTTAAGTAATACTTCACCTCTTTTTCTCTTCTATTATGTTAATGGTTTTATACTTAATCGTATATGTCCGCAAGTTGAAAAAGGTTGAGCACGCATGGTCTAAAATCAACTTAGTCCTGGTCACTTTTTACACAATTAATTACAACTAATTATATATTATATTTAGTTTCGAACGGTACATATTCCTAGGAGCGCGTCTTTTACACCGCAGAAAACGATCACGTCGACATGATGGTCAACACAAAACGTATTACGCGGCGAAGAAGTGTTTTCCTACAAAACTAGTAGCAGCGCGTTGAAAAATTTAGTTGACTACTGAAAGTGTGACTAGTATGTAGCATATATTGCAATTAATAAAGACAACTACTACGAGTAATTCTTAAATCATATCATATAATATTTTAATTGTTAACGAATTCAATTAGATGGTCGACATCGTCGTCTGAGAAATGAACAGACGACAGAACTATTATTTAGAATATTATTACTTAAGTAAAAACACTTTCTATATTAATAATAATTTATTAACACTATAATTTAATATGACATATGTTTGAAAAAAATAGCAATTTAAAATAGAAACAAAACAACCATTGATAAAATGCTGCGCGTAACGCAATAAACATTCTATCACCAGTCGTCGAATCACGCCGAGCTTATTGTACTGACATGGTACGTACTCGTATTTCGCTCTGTAGGAAAATCAGGGATGGAAAACCTTTTTAATTTATTTGTTTTCGTTTTTGTTAATTGATTTAAAAAATATCGTTTTTTTTTTAACATTTTTAAACGTTTTTGATTAATATTTTCAAAAACGTTATTTTTAAATAGTGTTTCTAAATTTTTATAATTTATTATACCTACTTATTACCCTATTAGCTATTATAGTTAATAGTAACAATAACATGACTTTATAAATTATATTTAATTTTTAATATATCAGTGATTGTATTTTACATATTTTCTTAAATGATTAAATTATTTAATATTCATTATTCTGATATCCCATACGGTATTTAAAATCAAGAATTAACAAGTCTATGTTCGTTTATAATTTAATGATTAATTAATTTAGAAATATTTGAATTCAGGGGCGTATTTTATGAGGGGACGAAGGGGGAAATATTAAGGATTAACCTGATTTAAATATTACCAAAAATTTTACTTGTAAATTTTGAACCTGAATTAAAGAAAAAATTTGAGTCCCCCCCCCTCCCTAGAAGTAAGTCTAAATACACTCCTGTTTGAATTAGTTACTAACTTATAGTTTAATATTTATTATTTACAAACATTAAGATTTAAAGTTTAAAGCATTCTGATTTGTCAACTTTGGTTTTTTACACTAGAAATCTGAAATAGTGTTTCTTTATGTATTTAATTACTCTTTAGTCTTTACCAATGCATTTTTTAAAAAGGTTTTAATTTAAAATTTTTAATTTTTTTATTTTCATATAAAATATAAATTATAATTTTGATTTGAAATTTAAATTTTAAATATTAAGAATAATTAATTATAGCAAGTGTATTTCTTTATTCAGTATATTGAATATTCATTGTAACTGTTATAAGTTAGGTATAAGAAATAAGAATACATATAAAAAAAAAAAACAAAATTATTAAAAACGTTATTTGGAAACAATATAGAAAAACAGTGTGATTAATTTCAAAAGAGCAAGTGGTTAGTAGTGGATAGCACTTTAACGATGTTGAATTACATAATGATAATTTGCTAAAATTTTAGATACTTACGATAATTTTTTATGATAGTTATAAATAGGACCATATTTAGGGAGGAGCTATCGGGTTCTGTTGGCCCGGGTGGCTGAATATGAGAGGGTGTCTAATTTTTATATTTTTTCAATATTTAATGATCTAATATTTTTGAAGTGAAATTTCTTTACAAAATAAAAAATGTATTTCAAAAAAATATATATATTGCCAATCACAGTGTCAAGACATACACACACACACACACACACACACACACACACACACACACACATACTCGGTACCGGTTGAGTACTGTCGATAAATCCAAATATTTACAAACAATCTATTCTTATGTTGACATTGCACTTAGAATGTTTTTGTGTACACCAGCAACGAATTGTTGTTCAGAAAGATCTTTCTCAACCCGCAGAAATTTGTTTTTGGTATAATGAGGCGTTTTTTATTGTTGACCCCTGGTGTCCAATTCTTAAATACGGCCTTGGTAATAAATAGATACTATGAATGCAAAAATTGTTTAATACTTTAAATATGTTTGCTAGATAACCACTTCCATTGTTTATTTTATTAAACTTTATGTAAGTTTTATAAAAGAATTTGAAGTTAAAATGTCTACAGTAAAATTTTATAGGTTTTTCTGTACTCTTTAAATCTGTATTACTTTTATTGCACATAATAAGATGCAGTAAATAAAAAAAGATATAACAAAAAATGTAAGGGGGCACCCGGGTTTGAACCGGGGACCTCTCG